CAAAGAGGTGGTGGCGATAGAGCAGAGATTTGCACAGAAACGGACTGATTTGGAACAGAAGATCTCTGATGCTAGAAGACAGTACGCTGCTCTAGAGGATGAATTTCGCATTGCTCTCACCATTGAGGCAAAGCGTTTCTCAGAGGTAAATTGTCTTATTAGAATAAAAAATAAATAAAACAATGATTTACATTTTCGTTTGAGTCGATTCTAAATTCGAACCCACTGGGGAGGAGAACATAGTTATTATTTGAAAAAGTTGTCAGTTAAATATATCAGTTCTGAGAAAACGGAAAGAAAAAACAGTACTGAGTCGACATATATGTCAGTGCAGTAATCAGTGCCATTTTAGTATTATGTACATACTCTTACAGTTTTTAGCAATATTTTGAATAAGCTTGTAATTTTTATATTCATATATTTTATTTTGTATGTTTTTGTCACAAAATTTTATTTTTTTATATATTTCTAAATAGTTTTATTTTATTTTTATTTCAGTTTTTTTCTGTTAGTAAGTTTAGCACTTCAATTTAAACGTATTTCAAGGCAATCTAATTTTTTTAATCTAATATTTATTTTATTTCAGCTTTATTTTAGTTAACAAAGAGGTCAATAGTTTCAGTTAACTGGCACAAACGGCTCGATTAGTTCTGGGTTTGATGAAGGCCCGCATTCCGAAAAACGAAATGTGATGTGATTGGTTAGCTGTCCCAGTGCGTTGTGATTGGCGAACAGCTTAGACGGTGTTTCAGTACTGCCCCTCCCCTTGCCAAAGTAGCAAGTTCTGTGTGCTCCGGTACAGTTAAGGATGGCATCAATATTGCCATATCAGTTTGAGCCGGATTCAGACACCGAGAATATTGAACAAGAGGATCACGCAGAACTTTTGCACGCACGGATGTTACAAGGCATATTAGAGTGGCAACATTAGATACGATGTCAACAACCGCTTAAAAATAAGTGCATTTACTATGTACAGATAAGTGCAACGGTAATATGTATTATTTTTATTGTTCTTTAATTCTAACATTATAACATGAATTGCAGTGAAACTGTTACTGCACTAACTCTGCAGCAGCACTTCTTCTTCATCGTCATCTTGTCTGATGCACTCAACCAAGCGTTCTAACCACGACCTCGCCCCTCCCCACCCCCCAACCATTCGAATTTCCGTAGGCGGGAATTATTTTAATGATATTATAATGGGCCGCTTTGTGACATCACAAAACCCCGGAAAACAATGCTGTAGTCCAAACGAGCCGTTCGTTGTAGTTCTTGGGATTTTTAAAAAACGAAATATCTCCCTTTGGAGTGGACTTTGAGATTTGTAAGTTTGAAGATCTTTTTTGTCCCCAAACATACACACTGACTAAAATTCAAAAAGTGAAAAAGCATAATAGGACCCCTTTTAAGAATATTGCCTAAAATGTCAAAGATGTTTTAATGACACAAGCCCCAGATTTTTCTGACAGGTTACCCTTACTGTGTGTGTGTGTGTGTGTATGTAGGTAAAGGAGGGATTTGATCAGGTATCTGCTGAACTCCTAGAAGTCAAGTCAAGTCTCAGCCAGTCTCAGCAGAAGGAGAAGCAGTCAGCCTCTCTGGTGCAGGAGCTCACAGCTATGGTGAAAGAACAGAAAACACGCATTGCTGAGCTCCTCAAAGCCAAACGAGAAGCCAACGCTGAGTTCAAGGTATGACCAAAAGATTTTATTTACAAAAAAAGTTCTTGATTTTGTTGTCTCCTTTGGGGATTCGTGCCAAATCATCACACATCGCACATGTGATTTCAATCACTTCTTAAGTAAATGCTTCATAAATCACGTTATGCTCTGTTTTTGTATGCTAGACCCGTGTACAGTCATTGGAATCCAGGTTAGAGGACGATAAACGACTTAACCTACAGGTGGAGCTACTGAAAAAGGACAAGTCCAAGCTGCTCTCCCAGCTTACTGCTCAAGAGTCTGTCATAGATGGACTACGGGCAGAGAGAAAGATCTGGGGCCAGGAACTTGCACAGCAAGGTACTTCAGTAACTTCAAGAAAGTATGACCCAGACAGAATTGGTTTTATTTGAGCTAATTTTTGTGTTTGTCCATTTGTTTAGGTGCATCCTTAGCACAGGACCGTGGTCGACTTGAGGCCAGAATTGAAGTTTTGTTAGCCGAACTGGAATCGCAGAAGAAGCAGAACAAGAGAGACAATGATGCACTCAGGATTAAAGCTAAGATTGTTGATGACCAGACAGAGACTATTCGTAAATTAAAAGAGGTAAAGTCCTACTTGCTCAAAAAAACTTATAAACTAAGATAGAAATTAGATAGAAATAAATTGATTACTTATTTTATATCAAATTAATTACATAATGCGCTTAAAATTAATCACAATAATCAAAAATATGTGATCAGTGCCACGTTTTTAAGACAACATTTGAAGTTAAATGGTACAAATTTTGTACCATTCAAACTACCATTCAAATGTTTGGGGTGTGTCAATATTTGAATGTTTTTGAAAGAAGTCTCTTATGCTCACCAAGGCTGCATTTGTTTAAGCAAAAATACATTAACTCAGTAATATTGTGAAATATTATTACATTTAAATTTTTTTAATTTTAATAGATTTTAAAATGTAATTTATTCCTGTGATTGCAAAGCTGAATTTTCAGCAGAAATCATTCTAATATGCTGATTTAGTGCCGAAGTAACATTTCTTATTATTATCAATTTTGAAAAAAGTTGCACTACTTAATTTTATATATATAA